CCAAGTAATGTATTTGCTTCCTTTGAAGTCAAAAGTTTACTAGAGGGGCTGGCATTATGGTATAGCATTCCATGTGGGTGCCACTGCTCCACTTCCTATCTAGCTTCCTGCTAATGCTCCTGGGAAAGCATCAGAGGATGGCCCAGTCCTGGCCATTGCAGCCATCTAGGGAGTGAGCAAGCGGTGGGAGATCTCTCTCCGTATGTCTCTTCTCTCTAACTCTGTTTTTCAAATAAATAAATTTTAAAAATAAAAGTTTACTAGAAAATGTCTTGGTGTTGGCTCTGTGGGTTCATATTCTCAGGAAAATGATGTTCTCTTTCAAGAAAAAGTTTCAAATATTTCTTGAATTGCAGTTTTTAGTCCTTTTGATTTGCTTTGATCTTGCTATGATTTCCTTTTGTAGCAATTCCTATTATAATTATGTTGAGGGGCCAGCACTACAGCATAGCAGGTAAAATCACCACCAGCAGTATCACATCCCATATGGACACCAATCCTGGCTTCAAACTTCCAACCCAGCTCCCTGCTAATGAGCCTGGGAAAGCAGTGGGAGTCCAGGAAGAAGCTCCTGGCTCCTGGCTCCTGGCTCCTGGCTCCTGGCATTGGCCTGGCCCACCTCTGTCCTTTTCAACCATCTGGGGAGTGAACCAGCAGATCAAAGATTCCCTCTCTCTGCCTCTGTCTTTCTGTAATTCTGTCTTTCAAATAAATAAATAAATAAATTTGTAAAAAAAATCATGCTACACTTACCTGGCAGGGGAGATACCATGATCACGAAGGCGGTTTTCCCAGGGCAAGGCTTATCCATTGCACTCCAGATGTGCTGACCTCTGCGATTTCCCCAAATGCGGGAAACTCGACTGCATAATTTGTGGTAGCGGGGGACTGCGTTCACGCTCTCCCCTGGAAAAAAAAAATCATGCTAAATCTTCTTTGTTTACCTTCAATACTACCTTTTCCTGAAATGTATTTTTTTTTATTTTTAAAACTTTTTTCCCCCTTTTCAGCCTCTATTTACCCTCAGGTGTTATCTGTATATTCATATGCTCATTTGGTTTAATATTCATTTTTAAAAAATTTTTAGAACTTTTTTCTTTTACTTTCTTTTCTTCCTTTCTTGAGTTCTGTCATCTTTTTTTTTTTTTTTTAAGTTTTTTAATTCAAGTATTTGAGAGCCAGAGGTACAGAGAGACACAGAGAGAGCTCAAGTGCACTGGTTTTCACCCTGAGTGGCCAGTTAGGCTGGGGCTGAGACAGGAACCAGCAGCTGGAAATGGGGAACGCAATCCAGGTCTCCCACATAGGTGGCAGGAGCCTAATCACTTGAGCCATCATTACTGCCTGCTAGAGACATATACATAAGCTGAAAGCGGAAGTCTCAGGAGCCAGAGATGAATGGCAAATGCAGGCACTCTGAAGCGGGTTATGGGAGTCTTAATCAGCCAAACACTCAGCCCTTTGCTCATATTTTTTAAAAACTGATTTATTTGTTCAGCCACGGCATGTATTATTTGGTCTTCAGAGAGGTAAATAAGTAAAAATGTGGTCATTTGGAGAGCTAATTAAGTAAAAACGTGGTCATTAGCACGGGGTCCAACGTAAATTGCACTCTTATACAAGGAAGAAATTTGGACACATATATACAGAGTGCCAGTAAAATGGTAAGGTCTCATCTGTGACGCCATCTTAGGCTCTGGCCCTGTCACCATTTTGTACAATAAGCTCCATTCTAAGCCCAGCCTGGCTTACTAGAAGTCAGGTAGCCAAATTGGCCAATCACTATCGTCAGCTCCACCTTCAAAAATAAACAAGCCCATTCTTGATCATTCAATAAATGTGGCAGAACAATCTCACCCTTAGAACTGGGGAAGAGTAAAGTCCCTATCCTGGAATATGGGGAACAAGAAGATATGTTCATTCAGAATCTGTGCCTTGGGGCCTACCCTGTGGCATAGCACTGCACTGCACTGTGCCTGCAGTGCTGGCATGCCATATGGCCACTGATTTGGGTCTTGGCTGCTCCACTTCTGGTCCAGTTCCCTGCTAATATGCCTGGGAAAATGTCAGAGGACAGCCCAAGTCCTTGGGCCCCTGCACCCATGTAGGGGACCTGGAGGAAGCTCCTGGCTCCTGGTTTCGGCCCTGGCTTTTGCAGCCATTTGGGGAGTGAACTGGTGGATGGAGGACTTCCCCACCCCCCACCGTCCCTCCCTCTTTCTCTCTGTAACTCTTTCAAATAAATAAATCTGCAAAAAACAATCTGTGCCTTCATTTTTATTTACTTATTTATTTTTTAAAAATTTATTAATTTATTTGAAAGGCAGAGTTACATATGGAGAGAAAACTCCCAATCGCTGGGTCACTCTCCAAATGACTGCAAATGCCAGGGTTGGACCAGGCTGAAGCCAAGAGCCTGGAACTCCATCTGGTTCTCTCACGTGGGTGGCAGATGCCTAAGCACTTGGGCCATCCTCCACTGCTCTCCCAGGCACATGAGCAGGGAGCTGGATCAGAAGTTGAGCAGCCAGGACTCAGGGCGTGCCAGCAACACACCACAAGGACATTATCCATGCACCGACCTACCCACCCACCTCACCCTTGGCCTTCACTTTTAAGCATGCTTTCAGTTCCTAAAATTCTCTGCTTACAGAGCCTAGAGAAAGTCTAACTGTGCCTTTTCCTTTTGTTCCTACTCTGGACTAACAGTGCGTTTATATCCCTAGGCTAAAAAGTAGCAAAAAGACTCCTAGGTCAAAGAAGTCACAAAGGGTGTGGTAAGGGTGGAGTTGCCAAATAAAACACAGGATGCTTTGTTAAACTTGACCTTCAGATAAACAACAAAGTGTAAGCTCTGAGTATTGCATCAGACATACTTGCGCTAAATTAGTATTTGCTGTTTAAAATACAAATTTAAGTTAACAAGCATTGTTTTTCTCACAAATATAGTATTAAAAAAACCCACTCTAGTTAAGGTCAGAGTTGACATTTAAAAAAAAAATTGTTTCTTAATCAAAATAATTAGAGAGAGCCAGCGGGCAATCTTCCACCCGCTGGTTCATTCCTCAAATGGCTGCAAACTGCTGGGACTGGGCCAGACCAAAGCAAGGAGCCCGGGATTTCTTCCGGGTCTCCCACGTGGGTGGTGAAGAGTTAAAATTGTATATGTGCGGGTGTAAAAAGTTAAGCTTAAGCTTACAGGTTTAAACCTTCCTGGTACAGCTGTGAAAATAAGACAGAGTGAAGTAGCACCTTGGCAGTAGGGACTCCATTTTGGAGCACTTGAGACTGCATTCTGGGAAAGCAACCCCCCCACCGTGAGACTCTGGTCTGAAACTATGATCTCAAATTGTCGGACAATAGCAGTGCACTACATCACCCTTGGCAACACACAAAAACTCCCTAGCATGATTGCTCAAGCTTAAAAGTAAAAAGGTTACACCTGGGTTACCTGGGCTAATAATAAAGATGTGATTTGTCTATGTCTTAAGATCATAATTGCTGATTGCAAGACTTTAGCAACTGCTTAACAACCGTGTATTCTCTTCCCCTTCCCGGTTTTGTGGTTTTTGCCTTTATAAACCCTAACCTTTGGTTATTCGGGGCTGCTCTGCTCATGATGATCAGACAGCCCCAGCATGCTGGATAATCAATAAAGCTTCCCCTTGCTGTTTGCATAAGAGATGTCTCTTGGTGACGTTTTTCGGGGGGTCGACTCTAACAGGTGGCAGGGGCCCAAGTACTTGGGCCATCTTCCACTGCTTTCCCAAGGCGTAGCATAGAGCTGGATCAGAAGTGGAGCAGCCGAGATTTGGGCCTTGCAGCCATGTGGAGGAGCCTGAAGAAGCTCCTGGCTCTTTGTCCCAGCTCCAGCCATTGCCGCCATTTTAGGGGTAAACCAGCTATGCAAAATCCCTCTGCCTCTCCCAGTCGCTCTGTAAATCTGCCTTTCAAATAAAATTAATCCTTAAAAAAAATAGATTGCCTGCTTGGCCCTAATGTTGGACAACGGGAGTGCATATTAAGGTAATGTTTCTGGCAAGATAAATGAATTGTAACATTCCACTGTAAGAACGGTCTGGCCAACAATGGGGAGCACGGTCAAACGCTTAAAGTTCAACAATACCGGACTTTCTTTTCCCTTACTAATTCCTTCACATTTGAAAGCCTCAGCTTCGGGGCGGAGCAGTGCAGCAGTAGCTTACCTGCTGCCTGGCACACAGGACCTCTGGTTCTGGACCTGGCTCCCCCACTTTCCCTCCGGCTCCTTGCTAAGCTCCCGGGAAATCGGCCGGAAGATGGCCCCAGTGCCCTTCCACCCACTGGAGCCCCGCTGAAGCTCCTGGCTTCCGGCTTCGGCTGGGCCAAGGGGCCATTACATTAGGGAGTGAACCAACAGATGGAAGATCTCTTTCTCTGTAATTCTGCCTTACAAATAAATAAACCAATCTTTCCAAATAAATAAACCAATCTTTTAAAATTATATTAAGAAGGAAAGCCTCCATTTCCTTATTTTGTACAAATAGGTTTCTTAAAAGGATTGGAATTATTAAAACAGCACAATAGTCTTACGCTATCTATATTATAAACAGGTTATAATATGTAAAATATATGATGTAGTATGGGTATTTATCCTCACTGTGTTATTTTTATTGTTCTGTATAACACCTTTGCACCTAACTTGTAGAAACAGTTGTAGAAACAAACGGGCAGAACAATCCCACCCTTAAAAGCAGGGGAAGAGGCTGGTACGAATTACCATGACAACGGCGCGCGCCTCGACATTTTTCGCTGGCGCGTCGCTTGGGAAGAAAAAAGCCTCGGCTGCGTATTGCGTCATCATTACGCGCTCGGTAGGGCTCTCAGGGGTGTTTTGGAAGGTCCCGCCCCGGCTACCGTCGCCTCACGCCAGGAATAATTTTTTTTTTCTTTTCTTTCAGTCTTTGTTACATCGCGCAGAGCCTGCACGACCGTAAGTACTGATGGAAGGAAGAAAGAGAAGGAGCGAGAGATGCCCCAGCATACTCTCCGCTGAACCTCCCCGTGTGTTCTTGCTTCTGTCAGCTTCCTCTCAGCTGGGATCGCGCCGCGTCAACTTCCGGGCGGGTGCCCGCCAGCACGGCCTCCGCCGCTCCCCTCCTTTGGCCCCTTTGTGTCCCCGCAGTGTGGAGGCGCGGGCCCTGGCAGGTCCTTTCTCGAGGCAGGGGGCACCGTAGTGCAGGGAATCTCTGTCTGTGGGCGGGCACGCGGCCCGCTGGGGGGTTACACTGGGGAACGTGCCTGCGCGTGCCGGGGTAAGAGGAGGTTGCACGAGGGTCAGCTCGTGGTTCGAGTAAGGAGGGGCGGGAGCGGCGGGAGGGGCGGGGTGGGGGGGGGGCGGACGGAGGAGCGTGCAAGGCAATGGAAATTTTAAAAAGACACCACTGTCCACCTCCCGATCCTTGTGGCCTAACAATGAATCGCAGCCATAATAGTCCAGAGCCACTGGCATGTTTGCGGGCCCTGTATTGCCTTGGAAAGGAACTGCTGTGGCTTTGTAGTCTCTGTTTTCATGGCCTCTTTTTCTCTTTTTTATTTTTTTTCCCCCCTGCGGATAGTTCATTTCAAGTCCCCGGGCCCCTCAGGGTGATTCCTGCCACTATGAATCTTTTCAACCTGGACCGTTTTCGCTTTGAGAAAAGGAGTAAAATTGAGGAAGCGCCCGAAGCAACCCCACAGCCCTCCCAGCCTGGCCCTTCTTCACCAATTTCTCTTAGTGCTGAAGAGGAGAATGCTGAAGGGGAAGTTAGCAGGGCAAACACCCCTGACTCAGATGTAACTGAGAAAACAGGTGAGTTACAATGTTGCAAATTGGTGTAGCATCAAAGAATAGGTGGTGAAAGATGAAAGGCAGGAGCCAGTCTGGTTGCTCTGATGTCACACATATTGATGCATTGTCCTCCCGATTACCCTTTAAGGCACAGCTTTGGGACTGCCTTAGTCACTGTGCCTCCAGCTGAGCTCCCAGCCATTGTTGCTTCTCTTAGATGTGAGTTCTTGGAATGTGGCCGGGTGATGGAAGTTGGAATCAAAATTCGGGTCATCCTGAGGTCAGAGTGGCTACTGGAAGAGGAATGGAGGTGATTGAACCCCGTGATTGACTTTGAGGCTGCTAATTTGGCTAGAGGTTTTCATTCATTCTAGTATTCCTTCAAAAAACCCTAGTGATCAGTATGACGAGCCAGGTGTTCATCAAGGTGTCTGAAGACAGTCTCTGCCCAGATCTGATCAGATACCATTCACATACTGCCCCCGCCTGACATCGTGGGGGTATCAAGAATGCAAGTGAATACTTGATATTCTTCGTGGTGAACGAACCATTTTAACCTCATCAGCAGATTGTCATAGACAGTTGGGATTTGAGAATAAGCCAAAAATTAAAATTTCCATTCTGATCTGTTTTTTGAACAATAGAGGAATATATTGGGGCTCTTGCTGTGTTTTTAGGCATTGTGCTAAATGCTTCATATTGAGTCACTTAATATACATAATAAACCTACTAGTTATTATTCAAAATTTGCAGAAATGACACCCAGAGATTAAGGACTTAGTACAATCTGAACTCAAATCCAAACAGTCTGATTGCTGACCACAAATGCTTAATTGTTACAGTATGCAGTTTCTCATGAAAGGTGAAAGGGATATTAGAAGTTTTATTTTAATGCTCATTTCAGTAACACCTTTTTGGGTGAGCATGGCTTTTTTTCACACGCGGCTTTTAAATTATTGTGGCCTGTAGAACTGGAAATGTGTGCCTTCATCATTGATATCTTTTGTTGGCTGCTCTGCCATGTAAATGAAACGGTTGTGGCCGATTCTCTACAAGTTCTTGGTGGGATGATTTGGTCGATCGGGTTAAGAAGTGACTAGAAGTCAAATTTCCAAAGACTAAGGAGTTGGCTAAGGAGTTCTGAGCTTGTTTAAATACTGTAGGTCAGGCTGCCATGGCGGCACAGCAGGCCCACTTGCGTCGCATGGAGGAATATCTCCCATGTGGAGGCCAACATGGAGTTCTGGGCTCCTGGCTTTTGCCTGGCCCAGCCCTGGTGGTTGGAAGCATTTGGGAAATGAACCAGCCGATGGTAGACCTCTCTTTGTTCCTTTCAATAAATAAATAAACTTTAAAATGTTATAGGAAGCGTATTAAAGGATTTTAAGCACAGACGTGACAGAGCAGGGAAGGCAAGGGTATAGGCAAGCCTCTGCTTCATCTTAATTCAGCATGGGACATCAGAAAAGACACTTAAAATGTGAAACAGTTTTTTTAATCTCTGAAAATGAAAGCACTTTGTAAAACTGGATTTCAGTGGAATGTTTTAGTCATTTACCAGTATTGGTAAAATGAAATTTTTACCTCTTATTTTAAGATGTATTTATTTATTTGAAAGTCAGAGTTACACAGAGAGAGAAGGAGGGGCAGAGAGAGAGAGAGAGAGGTCTTCTATCCTCTGGTTCACTCCCCAATTGGCTGCAATGGCTGGAGCTGCACCGATCTAAAACCAGGAGCCAGAAGCTTCTTCTGGGTCTCCCACACAGGTGCAGGGGCCCAAGGACTTGGGCCATCTTCTACTGCTATCCTAGGCCATAGCAAAGTGCTGGATTAGAAGTGGAGCAGCCAGGATACAAACCGGCACCTGTATGGGATGCTGGCACTGCAGGCAGCAGCTTTACCTACTGCATCACAGCGCCGGCTCCTACCTTTTTTTTTTTTTTTTAAATATTTATTTGAAAGGCAGAGTTACAGAGAGGAGAGGCAGAGAGAGTTTTCCATCTGCTGGTTCACTCCCTAATTGGCTGCAATGGCAGGAGCTGGGCCTATCCAAAGCCAGGATCCTGGAGCTTCTGGGTCTCCCACATGGGTGCAGGGGCCCAAGGACTTGGGCCATCCTCCACTGCTTTCCTAGGCCATAGCAGAGCTGGTTCAGAAGTGGAGCAACAGGGACTCAAACCGACGATATGGGATGCTGGCGCTGCATGTGGAGGCTTTACCCTCTACGCCACAGTGCCAGGGCGGGGGCATGCTCATTTTTCTCTTTATGGAGATTTCTTGTCATATCTAAATTCCTCTTAGAAATTGAGACTTAGAGGAGTTAATTGGTCAGTCTTTTTTTTTTTTTTTTTTTTTTTTTTAAATTGGTCAGTCTTGATACTGGGAAGTAGGAAATTTAAATGTTTTTCTAAGAATGGTGAGATTCCACCCTATGAATGCTTTGCTTTTAAGAATAATTTATCGTCCAAGATAGAGTTTTTGAAAGAATCTTGAAAATAAAGGTTGTTAAATTTAGACTTTACTTTATAGTAACCAGATATGCATTGAAGACTATGGATAGAACCATAGGATGATGAAAGAATATTGTTTACAGATAAACTGCTGCAGGAGACTCTCGTATTCCGAGTGGGAATTCTTTGAGACCTGGCTTCTCTGCTTCTGATTCCGCTCCCTGCTAGTATATCGTGGGAGGTAGCAGATGGTGGCTTAAGTGCTTGGCCCCTGCCGTTCATGTTAAGAGACCCTGATTGAGTTCTGTGCCCCTGGCTTCAGCCTAGCCCTGTCCTGGCTGCTGCGGGCGTTTGGGGAATGAACCAGGGGATGGAAGATCTCTTCATTAGCCATCCCTGACCCCTCCCCTGTTGTTGCTCTGCCTTTGAAGTAGATGAAAACAACTTAAAAAAAAAAGTCAAGCAGCAATATGCTATATGCTGATTGAAGGTGGGATTTGAAGGGAGAGAAATCATTTAGGAAGTATTTTTTTAAAAGATTTATTTATTTATTTATTTGAAAGGTAGAGTTAGAGAGAGACAGAGGCAGAGAGAAAGAGAGGTCAGTCGGTTGGTCTTCCATCCGCTGGTTCACTCCTTAGATGGTTACGATGGCCAGAGCTGTGTTGAGCTGAAGCCAGGAGCAAGGAGTTTCCTCTGGGTCTCCCATGCAGGTGCAGGGACCCAAGTACTTGGGCCATCTACTGCTTTCCCAGGCCATAGCAGAGAGCTGAATCAGAATTGGAGCAGCCGGGACTCGAACTGTGTCCTAGGATGCAGGTACTGCAGACGGCGGCTTTACCCACTATACCACAGCACTGACCCTGGTTTTTGTTTTGTTTAATTTTTTAAATTTATTTATTTGAAAGGCAGAATTATAGAGAAAGAGATTTTCCAGCCAGTGGATCACTCCCCAAACAGCCACTATGGTCTGGGTTGGTCCAGGCCAAAGTCAGGGGCCCAGAACTCCATCCAGGTCTCCCATGTGGGTGGCAGGGGCCCAAGCACTTGGACCATCCTCTGCTGCCTTCCCAAACACATCAGGAGGCAGCTGGATTGGAAATAGAACAGCCAGGACTTGAACCAGTGCTCATGTGGGATGCCAGCTTTGCAGGCTGCACCTTAACCTCAGCCATGACACCAGCCCCATAATCTTGAGTATAATATGGCAGTGGAAATGGAAAAGAAAGTGAGATGTAAGAGGTTTCAGAGCTATGAAGTGTTGAGTTTAACAACTAGATCCAAAGTAGAAATGAGATAAGATGAATGTTTAGTTTGTTAGGTAATTTAAAAAATTGAGGTCGGCGCTATGGCCCAGTGGGTTAACCCGCTGCCTGCAGCTGCCATATGGACACCAGTTTGAATCCCAGATGTTCCACTTCCGATCCAGCTCCCTGCTAATGCACCTGGGAAAGCAGCAGAAGATGGTTCAAGTCTTCAGGCCCCATACCCATGTGGGAGACCTGCATGAAGGTCCTGGCTCTTCGCTTTGGCTTGGCCCAGCTCTGGCCATTGTGACAGTTTGGGGAGTGAGCCAGCAGATGGAAGATGTTTCTCTCTGTCTCTTCTCTCTCTTTCTGTAACTGGCTTTAAACTAAATAAATGTTTAAAAAACAAACAAACAGGCCGGCGCCGCGGCTCACTAGGCTAATCCTCCGCCTAGCGGTGCTGGCACACCGGGTTCTAGTCCCGGTTGGGGCGCAGGATTCTGTCCCGGTTGCCCCTCTTCCAGGCCAGCTCTCTGCTGTGGCCAGGGAGTGCAGTGGAGGATGGCCCAGGTGCTTGGGCCCTGCACCCCACGGGAGACCAGGAAAAGCACCTGGCTCCTGGCTCCTGCTATCCGATCAGCGCGGTGCGCCAGCCGCAGCGCGCTGGCCGCGGCGGCCATTGGAGGGTGAACCAACGGCAAAGGAAGACCTTTCTCTCTGTCTCTCTCTCTCACTGTCCACTCTGCCTGTCAAAAAAACAAACAAACAAACAAACAAAAATGATTGTGCCGTACTTCTGAATAGGTAGGAAGTATCTCTTGTAAGCCATTGAGTATGGCTTTAATCAGATGAAAATCAAAGGTCCTGCTCCAAACTGCTAAGGCAAGTTAGGGAGACAAGGATGCTGAATTGAGTGTTGGCTTGTGGAAAGAACACGTGCTGAAGTTAGCTTTAAGGTCAGGACTGGAAATGGAGACTGGGGAGTCACATGGTAATTTTTCGTACTGCTATTGTATGATAATGCCGTATTAATTTAATTGCTTACATTGTCAAGGTCTAAGATGATAGGATGGAAGTTGTATGTAATCAAAATTACCTGTACTTTTTTTTTTCAACTTACCCTATTATTTTACCTAATATGAGTTAAGACTTCATTTTTTACTACTTTTCCTTCAGTTATTGTGACAGCCGCATGGTTTCTTGACTATGGCAAGCACAGTCTCATCTTTGCATTTTCCCATTTGCATTTCCATCTGCCTAGTAGATGCTTCTGCTGATATTTGCATATGACTCACTTCTTTAGTTTCACTAGATCTTATTAAAA